CAGGAACAGGAGTCAGCCTCACCTCTTGCATCTGTGTCAGTTATTCTTGCTACATACCTTCTCTGGTTTATTTCCCTCCCCCCTTTTTGATTTCCTCCAAGTGGCAAACATCAACAGTGGAAAAAACAAAAGCTATCTCTACACTTTTCAATGCCAAGTGTTCTTCACAAGCTGTGAAGTTATGAATTAGCCTGACTGCATTAGACTGGACAGTTCTGGCTTTATCAGCTCAACACTGCTCCAGTCTTCAGCCCTCGGACTGCCTGGGGAGGGGGCAAGGACTGAAACCACTGCAAACTCATGAGTAGCTCATGACCTCAGGTTTTATCCTCATGGAACAGAAGATTCTGCTGGAGAGCAACAAGCATGATTGCTTGTTGTATAATTAGCAGAATAGGCAAATGGTTCACACTTTCAGCCAGGCAAAATAGCAGTGTTTTAAAAACAACGGGATGCTAAGTCAGATGGCCACACTGCTCTGGCTGGGAACTGAGAGGAGTCAGTGGACTCGGTTTTCGTCTCAGGTGAGTCACCCCACTGCAAACTGGGCATGTCCAGCTGAAGCACAGTCAAAGGCTGACACAGGGGTCCTGCTCCAGAGACAAGCCCAGAGCCCCTGTGTGCACCCAACAAGCCAGGGGAAACGATGCTACAAGCACTGATTGATTCCTTCAGCCACAGAAGAAGGCAGCAGTGCTGCCCAGGCACTTCACCCCAGGTGGCAAGGCATGTTGTCATCCTGCCTCTTCCCAAGGGTATTCCTCATTTTCCCCCAGAAGATAAGCAGAGGTCAGCATGCCTTTGAGTTCAGCGTAACTCCTCTCTTTCCCCAGTCCTGCACCTAAATACAGTCCTGGACTAAAACAACTCCTTACCTGTCACTCAGAGTAACACAGCCATAAGAGATGCCTTATTAATGCACAGGCAAGTCACTGTATCCGGAAGCACTGACTTCTTACAGGAACAACTGTTGGCCAAGCACCTCCCCTTGCTTGCAGCTTCAGGAGGAATGGACAAGATCAGTGTGGGTAAAACTGCAGCTCCCCACAGTTCTAGAAAGATCAGCCAGTTTGCAACACACACACTGCTAGACTTGGGTGTCTAGATGTTCGCACATGTCAGAGAGCTGACGACATCAGAAGGAGTCTTTATTTTTAAACTCTTCCTTATGACACAGCCATGCTCCCTTTACTGAACCCCATATTACAGGGCAAACCTTCCCTCCCTCTTCATATACCATCCCTGTGAGCGGGAAGGGATTCTGAACCTCCGGAGCTGTATGCTAACCCCTACAAAACCTACACGGTAACACAAACAAAGGAATGCTTGTTTATTGGGAAAAAAGATGCTGATCCCTTTACTTTTCTTTGCAGAGTGACCTACGAGGCATCCCACAGTTGATACTTCTTGGGTCAACAGCAATCTTTCAGATGCTGTTATCACAGCTGCTGGTTTTAACTTTAGCAGGGTAAGGGAAGGGCTAAGTAAAGCAAAGACAGGCCTCTGGAGGCACAGAGTCCACTACATACCGTCACTATAAAGAGATTAAGTGCCAGGACCCTATGTCCTAAGGCTCTTAATATTAAAGGGAGGGAAGGGAAAAGCCTTACAAAAGACAAGAAAGGGTCTGCAGTCTCAGAGCTCTGTCAAGTCTGCTTCAGGTCTGGTTTTCTTCATGCATAGCTCCTGGTGGCAAAGGTTTTTTAGGTCAAGCCATGCTGTAATGGATGCTCTGTGGCAAACAGTGGGTTTGCCTGGATGGAATTCAATGAAGCTTTATAAAACAGTTTAGCTGACGAGGCACGTGCAAGGAGAGGATCAGCTCATTCCCCCTAAGCCACGGTGGCTTGGCAGAGCTTGCAGGAATAAGGGGAAACTTACTCTCCTCATTGGAGTCAGCTACAGCACAGTATGCCTGCGTGCAGACAGGGAGGTGGTTATAAAGGTAGGTCCCATGATTAGAAATGTGTCAGTTCTCCATGAGCAATGTGCTTACACTTCAGGAGGTGTCTGGCAGCTCATCAGAGAGAAAGCAACTTTACTTTTCTCCCGGCTGGAGGAGTGTCCCTCCCAAAGGGCAGAGGAGAGAAGGTCCACAAGGACACCTGCAGTTTTCACCCTGGTCTGCTCTCCTAGCTCAGAACTTAACCATGAGGATGGCTGTTCCCTTAACCCCAGCAAGCTCTGGGCTGAGCACCATCTGCTTTAAGGCTGCCAGCAAACAACTCCCCTTCAGCCCTTCCTGGCCCACTGCTGCTGGCAGCTAGAGGTCACTTTCACACGGCCTCCCAAGAGTTAAAGAAAACAAAAAGTGAGCCTCAAATTCAAGAGGGGAAAAATGCTGGTATGCAAAATACTGAGATTAACCACAAATATGGAGCAAGTGTTTAGTTACTTGAGGCCACATGACTTTGGAGGCACCTTTAAGAAATTATGAAAGCTTCTATTGTTGTCAGCAGCTCAGGCCAGCTACATTTCTGCCCAATTACTAGGAGCACGTTCCCCTGTTTCTGCAGTATCTCAGATGCTGCATCCAAAGCCAGGGACTTCAGATATTTCAGTCTGCTCAGACAAAAAGGCGGCTCAGAGAAAAGCAGTGAGTACAGAAGCAAAGAGCAGTTGGCAAGAGATGGATCTATCGTACCCTCTTCCTTGTGTAAATGTGGGAACTGGGGCACAAAGTATTCCCAGTGCCTATGCCAGAGCCAAACTCACAGCACCTAGCACCCACAATCCCCATCTCTTCCTTTCAGAGACTTCAGTGATGGTCAGTCCCTTAATTCTTGGGACAGGGAACTTAAAGAGTAATAGTATGGTGGGGGATACTAAAAGAAAGAACAATTCCTTTCCCCTCCTTGCCATAGCTAGTGCAGTCATGCCACAAAGAAATAGCCCAGAGCACTCAGTCAAGAAAGGAAGGACTGGGTTGGTTTAGGCTAGGATAGCCACCAGTGGCAGCAGCAGAGGAGGGGCAGTTCCTTTCTCCATGCTGTCTGCAGGCTCAGCCAGCTGTTTCCAAAAGCTACTGAAGTCTTGGAGGTCTTTTTTCTTTTCCCCCTCCTCTCTCAACAGGGTGAGCAGACCCCTTTTGGAAGGCAGGTTCTCATCCTGTAGATTAATGTGTCAATCAAGCCATGAGGAATTCATGAGGGGCAAGCAAGCTGGACAGCCAAGGCCTCCCACCCAGCAACACAGTGCTGCAGGTATTGCCACTAACGCCCGTCCCTCGGTGAACTATCTTCTTCCTGCATAAA